GCATGAGCGACTCGCGCCATTACCTCTGGCATTTCTGGCCCAGAGCATTATTAATGGAAGCCTTTGTGTTGGTTGATAGTCTCAGTCACAGGGTGTCTTCAAGACGACCAAACATTTCCACATCTACACCCCCAGAGCCTCACCTCATCAACATATCTAAACTTAACATAAATATGCACTCACTTTTTCTACCAGTCTGTATAAAAAATTATTTGTAAAATTGGACGAAAGATTTGCTGCAATTTCAGGAAAAGTAATTGAAACTCGACATTTTCCAGAGAAATTTTAGATAAATAATTCTTTGCCTGTAATATATTTGTGGAACACTTTATAAATAAGATAGTGAACCAGTTGAACTAGTCTTTTATATATATATATACACACACACACACACACACACACACACACACACACACACACACACACACACACACACACAACACACACACACACGGTGGGCAGAGACAGGATGTTCCAGAGAGGGGACACAGAAACAAGGGGTCACAACTGGAAGCTGAAGACTCAGACGAGTCAGAGGGATGTTAGGAAGTACTTCTTCAGTCATAGAGTTGTCAGGAAGTGGAATAATCTAGCAAGTGATGTAGTGGAGGCAGGAACCATACATAGCTTTAAGACGCGGTATGACAAAGCTCAGGGAGCAGAGAGAGAGAGAGAGAGAGAGAGAGAGAGAGAGAGAGAGAGAGAGAGAGAGAGAGAGAGAGAGAGAGGACCTAGCAGCGATCAGTGAAGCGGCGGGGCCAGGAGCTGAGTCTCGACCCCTGCAACCACAATTAGGTGAGTACACACACTGGATAGGGACAGGATGTTTCAGAGATGGGACACTGCAACAAGGTCACAACTGGAAGTTGAAGATTCAGATGAGTCACAGAAATGTTAGGAAGTTATTCTTAAGCCATAGAACTGTCAGGAAGTGGAACAATCTGGAGAGTGATTTAGTGGAGGCAGGATCCATACATAGCTTTAAGAAGAGATACCATAAAGCTCATGGAGCAGGGAGAGAGTGGACCTAGTAGCGACCAGCGAAGAGGCCGGGCCAGGAGCTACAACCATAAATAGGTAATTACACACACATTTATTCATTCATTGCGATCCATTACAGAAGGTTTTCAATCAGTTCATACGATACATGGCAGAAAACCTGAAAAAGAATAACGTGGTCTCCATGTTTAGAAAGGGGAACGGACCAGAGTCACTAAATTTAGTATCTTTAACATACATATTATCAAAACTTGGGGATAAATTTGCAAGGAACGGCCAATGAAGTATCTGGAGAGATTTCTTAGAGAATATCAGCACGGTTTTAGATATAAGAAATTTTTTCTTAAGAACATGCTGGAGCCTTATGATAGTCACACAGAAACGCAGTAAAGGCGGATCGGTATACTCCATCTTTCCCTACTACAAAAAAAAGCGTTTGGCAATGCCACATCAGCGACTGTTCCAAAAATTACTACAAAAAAAGCGTTTGGCAATGCCACATCAGCGACTGTTCCAAAAATTAGAACAAGCAGGAATATAAGGCAAAGTTTTCAGTGGATCAGACAGTACCTGAAAGATAAGAGATATTAAATTGGAGTAACAAGTGGGTTACCACAGGAACTAGTTGAAGAAGTAGACACATGTGCAACATCTGAGTATCTTTATTTGTAGAAGTTTCCCCATCCAGTGGCTTTATGAATGCAAGGACATTTTATAATGTGAAGAATATTGCACTATATACAAAAGATGAGGTAATCAGTCCCTCATCCTTGGAGATGAAGAGCACCGTAGTCTTGTCGGTATTACTACGTAGAACAGGAACTAGTACTGAGACCACGACTGTTTTAATGTAAAGAACCTACTTGCTTTTGATATATAATCTAATGAAAAGGACAAGAATAAGAAAGGATAGAGACTGGGTCTAGAAAGATCTGGATTTTCTGCAGATGTAACCCAACGTGGACGTTGGATTTTCCAGACAGTTGGAAGGTCATGCAGATTGAAGTGAGAAAACGCACAAAATACAGCTTATGAGGAGAGAAGACATGAATATCAGTGAAGAAGAACTTTGAGATAAATATAAGACCGAAGGCACATACAAATGGTTTAACTTCATTAAACAACACCTGAGGAATGGGAGGCTATCATGTTTGGTCAAAGGAAATGAAGGATAATTTTAATTCCTTAGATCAAGAGCACTTTACCAGGTACCTTCCTTATCGGGGTATGTCTTTAGTAGCATATAGGAAAAGCTAGCAAACCTTTACAAGAGCATTCAGGAAGGTGAGCAAAGCATCATTCAGAAACTTACACATGACATATTAAACCAGTCGTCGAGTACTTGGCTTTACGGTGCCCTGTGGCCCAGTGACTAAAGCTCTCTGTTCACACAGTGAGGGTCCGGGTTCGATTTCCGGAGAGGGTAGGAACATTGAGCGTGTTTTCTTACACCTGTTGTCTATGTTCTTTATCAGTAAAATGGGTATCTGGGTGTTAGTCGACTGGTGTGGGTCGCATCCCGGGACAAAACTGATCTAATTTGCCCGAAATGCTTGGCATAACTAACGGCTTTCTATATAGTATGTCATCGATGTCAGTTAGGCCTGTATACCTTGTACATGTACTTGTAGAAATAAAGATATATTATTATATTATTAAGTCCGGAGCCGTCGTCAGGTCAAGCACACGAGAAGCTCGAGAGGGTTCAACTGTTTTCATCCAGGATAGTTCTAAACTGAGAGGAATGCATTATAATAGAGGCTGAAGGAACTAAACCTGACGACCATGACGAAGACTACAGAGACATGATAACGACGTTTTAAATATTAGGGCGAAATTATAGGGCAGGTAGACCGAATGAAGGAGAAGCTGGGAGAATGGGACATACTTGAAAGCTGAAGACACGACTGAGCTTCGGGATGTTAGGAAGTACTTCTTTAGTCTCAGTATTTGAAAAATAGAACGAGTTGAATGACAAAATAGGAAAAGCAATCTCAATACTCAGTTTCAAGCGTGGGTACAATAAAGTCCAAGAGGCCAGAAACCAGTAATGCAAATTAAAGTAGTCCGAAAGGCAGGGCTAATGCAAACACAATTCTGTGAGTACTTATCACCGTATAACTTCGGCAGTCTGTGGGAGACGAGTGAATCTCAAAATAACTTGGAAACCATGATGAATTCATTCTGGTCTATACACAGAGTATGTCAGGCTCACCATAGAATATGCTTTGAAATGTTCAAAGGCTTTAAAGCTGCCTTAAGACCTAAACTGAGAGTTGTGCCCTTCTAGGCGAGACTAAAGGAACTAAAACTGATAACCCTGGAAGAGAGAAGAAATAGGAAAAAAAACAGGATAAGGACATGTAATATACGAGGATGAATTAATAAGATAGATATGGACAGATGAATCACAAGGATGCGGGAAAGTATTCATTCAGTTTTAGAGTAATAGGCAAATTAAATTAACTGGATGTTAATGATCGTTGAGGTAGACTTTGCATATAGTGCAGTTTTAAGAGCAAATATAATAGGGTTCAAAATGACATAACGGCAAAGCTTCAGTAGAAACACAAAAAAATAGTTAATCTTTAAGTGGGCTATCATAACTAGTAATACTTTAATGGTTATAATCATATCCATGAATTTTAAAGAGGTGGACCGGTAAGCCAGGGAAAGTCCTCGGTCAGATAACCAAAAGCTCCATCTGTGGGTCATAAGACTAAGACCCACGTCAGGAAACACTTATCCTGTTTCCTGATAAACATACCTTTACGTCGGCTAAGAATTATAACATGTTTAACGGTAATAAATCCTAACTTCTTAGATAATGAAAGAATAAGAATCTCAAAAAGTATAGAAAAACTTAATGGCCAAGTACATATGAACTGTACACACTTCAGTAACCACTTGACTGAGAGGTACGAGGGAAAATGTAGAATAAACTACGTGAGAAGAGGTGGCATGTGCACAATTAACAAGCATACGTCAACATCTGTGGTCCAAACATTTTTAAACCTGCTACCAGCAGATACGAAACATTCTGCCGGAATGAATGTAAAAGCTTTTAAGAGGAACTAAAGAGTTCCTGCTAGACGTGCTATATCAGCCAGGTTAGCTTGTGTGCTCTAGACACCAACAGTCTGGTAAAGCAGGCAACGAAGAAGTCAGGTTTTCTGAAACCTGCTTCCTACAGTAGCACTTTTCAAACCGGTCATATGCACGTGTTGTTGATAATGGTAGTGGCATTGACATTGAAGGTGCTAGTTAATGCTGCTGTTGATACACATTTACACGTTTGCATATTTGCTTAGGCTGTTTCGTTGGCTAGAAGTTTTATCAGGCCTCACTGAAGCTTGACGAAGCTTCTGGAGAGGTAATTGCAGCCTAAATAAACATTCGAACATTGCAAATGTGTCCATATATCTCAAGTGATTGTGGACATAATTCTTGCACTTGCATGGTCTTGCTGGTGATGATGGTGGCTGGTAGTTAGTGCTATCTATGGTTAAATAAGTTAGAATGAATAAAAGTATATAAAAAAGAGCACAACATTAGGCCTACTGTTCCCTAATATTGAGGTCTCCTCACACCCAACCATTCACACTCGTGTATCTGACTTAACCTATTTTTAAAGCTACCCAAAGTGCTGGCTTCAATGACGTTACTTGGCAGGTTGTTCAACTCGTCTACCCTTCAAGGAGGTGCCTTCATGCTGTTGAAGGGCTCTTGATTCAAGGAATTTGAGATGCCCTTCCCTTCCTTGGATCATACATGATTTCCTCCCATTCCCAGGAGCTGTATGACTTCTATGGGTTAAGCGACTCCTGATTATAATTATTCGCACGTCTACAGCTGCCAAACTGGTCCCTTCCAATATCCTTGCTAAATGGCACCTTACCTGTTATTTTTTTTAGCGCATCTATGGTGCGAGTTTGGGAGAGGGGGAATTGGTTGGGGTGGGGGAGGGGAGAGTGGTGGCACTGGTTCAGTCGTCACTTGGCACTGTGAGGGAACGGTCCGTGTTGGCCTCTGCTGCCTGGCACCTTCCCACCTCCACGATCATCAACTACTCCACCATTTATATTACCATTATTACCAGCAATGATGCCATTATTACTACCATAACCACCACTACCACCATCACAACCAGTGTGATAAAGTGGACTTAGAGATAGCAAAGTGGTGAAATAGTGAAGCAGAAAATAGAGAAATAAACAGTGAAATAAAGGAAGAGTAATAATATGCAATATAGTTGGGAGGGAAACATTGGGGAGGTGACGGTGATAATGTTAGATAAGAGGTGACACAGGTGTCAACAAAACTCAACCCCCTCACTCAAACACCCTCCTTCCCCACAACACCCTTACCCAAATATCCCCCCCTCACCCAAATTTCCGTCACCTAGAACCCACTCACCTAGATCCCTTCATCAGTAGCCTGATTGATCATAGACCTTGCTGCGCATAGACAGCAGATCAACCCTCTACCACTTTAGACTCCACCACCTTCAAATAATTTTCCCAGCTAGTTCTCGACACATACACCTTCCACCACATTTTTTTTCTTTTAAAAATACAATTTTTTACAATATATATATATATTTCAAAATTTACTTCAACTTCCTCCTCCTTCCCCCTCCCCAAAAATTCCATTTAGTTTTACAATTTCTGAAGTTACATTATTTCCAGAACAGTTTTTTCTGGGATTCTAATACTTGCTCAAACTAGGGTTAATTACCTGGTATTCAGCTTATACGTACTCGCTCATCCACTGTATTTAATTATTATTATTATTGTATTAATATTTTATTATTTAACACTAAACTCGTACGGGTGCTTAGCCATGCTAGATATTGAACTTACTGTCTCTCATCTCTTATTATATGAATTAATTGGTTTTCGTTATAATGTATTTTAAAATATTTGTTTTAAATTATTTATCAACTATTATTTAATAAGAAAAATCCATCATAGGTTGATGTTAGTCATACATGGTGGCTGTGAGAATATTGTTAAGTGAACCCCCCCCACTATACATGGTGGCTGTGAGAATATTATTTTGTGACCCCCCCACTATACATGGTGGCTGTGAGAATATTGTTTTGTGACCCCCCCCACTATACATGGTGGCTGTGAGAATATTGTTCTGTGACCCCCCCCCACTATACATGGTGGCTGTGAGATATTGTTTTGTGACCCCCCCCACTATACATGGTGGCTGTGAGAATATTGTTCTGTGACCCCCCCTCTATACATGGTGGCTGTGAGAATATTGTTTTGTGACCCCCCACTATACATGGTGGCTGTGAGAATATTGTTTTGTGACCCCCCAAAATACATGGTGGCTGTGAGAATATTGTTCTGTGACCCCCCCACTATACATGGTGGCTGTGAGAATATTGTTCTGTGACCCCCCCACTATACATGGTGGCTGAGAATATTGTTCTGTGACCCCCCACTATACATGGCTGTGAGAATATTGTTCTGTGACCCCCCACTATACATGGTGGCTGTGAGAATATTGTTCTGTGACCCCCTCACTATACATGGCTGTGAGAATATTGTTCTGTGACCCCCACTATACATGGTGGCTGGTGAGAATATTGTTCTGTGACCCCCCCACTATACATGGTGGCTGTGAGAATATTGCTCTGTGACCCCCCCCCACTATACATGGTGGCTGTGAGAATATTGTTCTGTGAGCCCCCACTATACATGGTGGCTTTTGAGAATATTGTTTTGTGACCCCCCCCCCCACTATACATGGTGGCTGTGAGAATATTGTTCTGTGACCCCCCCACTATACATGGTGGCTGTGAGAATATTGTTTTGTGACCCCCCACTATACATGGTGGCTGTGAGAATATTGTTCTGTGACCCCCCCACTATACATGGTGGCTGTGAGAATATTGTTCTGTGACCCCCCACTATACATGGTGGCTGTGAGAATATTGTTCTGTGATCCCCCCACTATACATGGTGGCTGTGAGAATATTGTTCTCTGACCCCCCCACTATACATGGTGGCTGTGAGAATATTGTTCTCTAACCCCCCCCACTATACATGGTGGCTGTGAGAATATTGTTCTCTGAACCCCACTATACATGGTGGCTGTGAGAATATTGTTCTCTAACCCCCCCCACTATACATGGTGGCTGTGAGAATATGGTTCTCTGACCCCCCCCCACTATACATGGTGGCTGTGAGAATATTGTTCTCTTGACCCCCCCCACTATACATGGTGGCTGTGAGAATATTGTTTCTCTAACCCCCCCACTATACATGGTGGCTGTGAGAATATTGTTCTCTTAACCCCCCCCCCCCACTATACATGGTGGCTGTGAGAATATTTTTCCCTCTGACCCCCCCCCCCCACTATACATGGTGGCTGTGAGAATATTGTTCTCTGACCCCCCCACTAATATAATTTGTATTACTTTAGGGTATTAAAAAGAGATGTTTACAATTAAACATGATTTATTAGATTTAAAGCCCATGGACTACAAGAGGGTCATTAAGGATGAATTTCACCAAGCAAACATACTTTTATCCCTAAAATTGTGACTGAAGTTGTTATAATCAAAACCAAGCGCTAAACCCACTAGGGTCATAATGATTGAAGACCGAAGCAAATTCATCATATATACCATTCACTGTATAAACATTGCTGTTCTTAGGGCCTATGCATCTAGATAAGTATCTCCCCTTGTGAATATAACCGAAATAATATAGTTAGTTGTCAAACAATATATGTTTAAATTTATATACATATAATGTGCAGAACTAATCAATTTTTGTTATTATAAGATTGTTTTTGGTATATCTAAGCTAATATTATAAATGATTAATAATAGAAAAGTAAGCTGAATTAACACCACTAAATTCTCAATGCTCTCAAACCATCTGCCTTTCCTCACTAGTTATAGAGTCGGGTGGGTAGCAGCACGCTGCTTATGTACATAATTTTGTTGATAAAAAATATAGAGCTTAGCAGAATATTTGAGAATATCTCAATGGCCTTGCTCAGATATCTAAGGTTCTGGCTGGTGAATTTATTACTAATGTAGAAAATTTATCATGTGTGATGGCGTACAGGAAACAGGTAGCTCTGGTTGCAGGATGTATCTGGTGTAGAATAGAGCAGCCGTACACTGTGGGTATACCATACCTAATTTTGTTAAAAAATTAAAGGTTTGTCTTACTCAAATTACTTATTACCAACCTTCTTTCCTTACCTCTTGCCACTTAGCCTTACGACGTTTTCCATTGTCAGTATTTAAAATATTTCTTATTACCATTATTTTTGGTAAGCATTCATGGTATTGTTTATCATTATTTTTTAATTTTTGTATATATTTCTTCCCTCACCAAACAGATGTATTTCTCACCTATTCGTTTATGCAGCCTACTTCCAAGTAGTCATATTTTTTGTGTATATATATTCTATTATATAACTTATTATATAATAAAATATGAAACATAAAAAATGCTGTTCGTAAACATACTTTACTGCAATGTGCTTAAAAATGAACGATTTGTTTTTTAACTTTCATCCCTATGAAAGTAAAAGACTCGGCAGAAGATGTGACATTCCCCCAAAGATAAGCAGGGGCGCCACGAGTACACTGAGAGACAACACAGTAAGTGTCCGGGGCCCAAGATTGTTCAACTGCCTCCCAGCATACATAAGAGGCATTACCAACAGACCCCTGGCTGTCTTCAAGAAGGCGCTGGACAGGCACCTAAAGTCAGTACCTGACCAGCCAGGCTGTGGTTCGTACGTCAGTAACAGCCTGGTTGATTAGACCCTGATCCACCACGAGGCCTGGTCTCAGACCAAGCCGCTGGGGCGTTGACCCTCTAAACCCTCTCCAGATATACTCCAGGTATGTAATGGTTGAGATATACTGTACTGTATATGCCCCCACAAAAAAAAAATACTAGCCAGAATACAAAATAAACGTAAAAGGTATTTTTTTTTTTTATTCGCCGGTATTCTCCCGGCCCGGGTCTTTTCCAAGTGGTGGCCCGGCCTTGGCTCCCTCTTTAGGGACTGTCTGAGACCTAAGTCTCCCATGGGAGGAGGCACAAGTACCTCCTCATCTTTGGGACCAACTGTCCCCAGGCCTAGTCACAAGCTAGGCCTCTCTGGTCTGTCATCCCCGCCCCAAGGGGGCTAATGGGAATGACAGTCTTGTGAGCTGTAAGCTCGGGCTCAGGCACCTACCCTGCCCTAGAAGGGTTAGGCATGGTGTCGATCACTAAAAGTTTTTTTTTTTTTTTATTCGCCGGTATTCTCCCGGCCCGGGTCTTTTCCAAGTAGTGGTGACCCGGCCTTGGCTCCCTATCTGGGGAGTGTCTCGAGACTTAAGTATTCCATGGGAGGAGGTACAAGTACCTCCTCATCTTTGGGACCAAGTGTCCCCAGGCCTAGGCCACATTCCCCGCCCTCACGGGGCTCGTAGGGAGAAGCTAGGCCTCTGGTCTGCCATCTACCCCGCCTCAAAGGGGCTCGTGGGGATGGCAGTCTTATGAGCTGCAGATGGTAGCAAGCTCAGGCATAGTACCCCCTCATCTTTAATTAAAGTTCAAGTAAACGGAGACGTACATACCAGTGTATTACCTGAGAGCAAGAAAGGCACTTCTCACACCTTTAAAAATTGAACATTGAAATCTCATTAAAGGATTTTGAATCATTTTATTTTACATTGCCCATTGTTACAGTTTCATACATTAATTTAATTAAAAGCAATAATTGTTTTTTCGTACTAACACACACACACACACACACACACACACACACACACACACACACACACACACACACACACACACACACACACACACACACACACACACACACCACACACACACACACACACACACACAGGCTGGCTGCGTGGTCCAGCAACTGGCTCCTAGAATTTAACCCCGCCAAATGCAAAGTCATGAAGATCGGAGGAGGGCAAAGAAGACCGTAGACAAAGTATAGGCTAGGAGGCCAAAGGTTGCAAACCTCACTCGAGGAGAAAGACCTAGGAGTGAGTATAATACCGAGTACATCGCCAGAAGCACACATTAACCAGATAACTGCTGCGGCATATTAAGGGCGCCTGGCAAACCTGAGAATAGCGTTCCGGTACCTCAGTAAGGAATCGTTCAAGACTTTATACACTGTGTACGTCAGGCCCATACTGGAGTACGCTACACCAGTTTGGAACCCACACCTGGTCA